AAGAGTACCCAGATAAGAGATGAGGCTTTGTATACCACATATTGGTTAAAGCACCTTTAAATGGGATAGTTTCAGTGCCTTTCTAGTGAAGCACATACCCTTTAACTGAATCTAAATAGTAGGACTGAAGATTATCTGACATTAATGAATAAAGTGAGGATGCAGGGAGCAGCTGAGGGGTTTGCAGGTGTTTCCTGGGATGTAACGTATTGCGAGACGTAGCTGGTGGCGTGAGTCTGATGAGAGGGCTCTGAAAGGAGTTTCTTTGGGAAAGTGAGAGCTAGCAGAAGTGTGTTTTTGCTGTGGGTCTGTTATCTGATGTGAATGTTAGGTATTATAAACTATTTTGTTTTTCCCTTTGCATCCTTGGTAATGGATACTTGTTATTGGCTATTGGTGCTGTTGGATACTTGAAATACGGAGGAATTTTGCTTCCTGTTATGTAGTATAATTCTAGGATAACTTTCCATTAAGCCCAATATGAGTTTTTGCCTTTTGAATATGTTTCACTGTGTTGCATTTAGTATTTGAATTTTGTGCTGCACTGAGGTGTTTCTGCAGAACTAGAACAGCTAGCCTGAGATTCTAGCACTTAAGGGTAAGCCTTGACCTGCTTTACTTTCTGATGTGTAATTGGTTAACATAACCTTTCAGGTACCACTTGCCTATAAGTTTGTCTGTGGTTTTATATGGCATGATGAGTTTGATACAGAATGAGCATATGGGTCTCCTCTACATGCTAATAGTATCTAAGTTCTGAAAAGCTATAATAGTGATGGCAGACAGCGCTTTGTTTCATACGGCAGTTAATGACATATGCCACCTTATGATAAAGTAGGAGAATTATTAGATTTTTTTTCTTATGAAGAAAGCATAATTTTTTAATCTCTCTGTGAGCTACCAGAAATTAAGTCTAAGTTAAGTTGATTTTTCTACCTTGCTGTTAATATTGACCCTTTCGGTTAATAGCTTCTGCAAGTGATATTTGATAACTAATTTCAGAAAGGAATTTCTTGTCATTGTCAAATTGATTCTAGTTATTTCCTCTGAGAATGTTTCTGGGAAAAAGCTGTACAAGTGTATGAACAAAGCTCTTAAAACAATCAGACCTGTAAAACATTTTTAGAGTTCTGCCTGATAGATCTGTATATCTTCTACAGTTATAATACAGTGACTTTGTTGGCCTAACTTGAGAAAAGAATGAACTTCTGTGCGTGTGGTGTCCCCTCTCAGCCCAAGAAAATTTGACTTTGAATAATAGAGTAGATTTTCATCTGCTATCTAATTTTTGGTTGAAAAATGAACTCTGACTTTTTTTGTATATCTTTTTAGCAATTTATTAGAATACCTGAGTGCTTCTACAGCAGTTTGGCTGTCTGTAATATTTCTGAAAGCATCTTTTCCTAGCAATCTGTAGAATGACTGAAGTACAGAAATTTTCTGTTCTGAACCTCTTCATAATCTTTTTTAGTATCACTGTAACACGGTAATATGCATACAAGTAATATGCAAAACATATGTAAACATATGCAATGTTGATGTATTATTTCCTTGAAATTGTCCACATACTTTCCTTTTTTATGTCTAGAAAATTTTCAGCTGCACTAATTTAAAGTGTTAAAGGATAGATTTGTCATCTTTTAATGTGAATTTCAATGTCAGTTATCCTAAAAGAAGGACCTTGGAGTATTTCAAAGGGGTTGTTGTTTTATATATCTATATCTGTGTCTATGTCTATATCTATATCTATGTCTATATATAGATATATATGCGTTTATTGAACAAATGAAGAACCTATATTATAGGAGTTATATCACCATAATAATCGTAGAAGCTAGGCCTAGAAACAATAGCAAGCTCAGGTTGTCCACTCAAAAATAGGTCCATCTATGCTAACCAGAGCTGAGTTGGCTGGAGCAAATAGTGATCAGGAATGAGGTAGCTAAAGTTCTATAGTCCTTCATTTGTAGAATAACTTTTATTTTTGTTTCTTTACTGGCTTTACATCTCTTATATATTATGAAGTCTTGAGGCTAGCTTTTCTTATCTTTGTGTATCAGCCTGACTTTTCTTCTGTCCTACACAATGAATTCTAATTTCCTAAATTTTAAGAAAAAAATTAGTTAAATCCAGGCAATACTGTGGGATTATCACAAAAAAGCAAAAATGCCCCCCCCCCCAACAAAGAACCTCTACCCCTGAAGCTGGATCTCTTTGAAACCCTTCTAAAGCAGAGAAAGACATGAGAGATCAGAAAATGCATATCTAAAACTAATAATGAACTGTCATAACAGTATACTACACATGCATAGTAGTAGTGATAACCATTGTAAATAGAACACAATACATATTTCTCTGAAAACTGCAGCATCTAAACGTGTAAGGAAGATGAAAGAATGCAGAGAAATCAGAACAGTAATATGTGGCAAGCCTCATGCTGGTCCTGCAGTTTAGGAAGCAGGAAAATATCAAGTTGGCTAATTCAGGAATTGGAGTAAATGGGGTGGAGAACGAAAGGAGTAATAGGTTGACAAGTACACAGAAGGTGAAAAGATTAGAGCAAAGAGCTAATTAGCACATAGGAGACAATGTTGATGAAAAAGAAATAAACAAATTGCAGAAAGCTTTTTGCTGACTTGTGTTTCCACCAGGGTTGAGCTACCCTGGCTTTAATCAGACTCAGCTGTGTTGTCATTCTGCTTCCAAAGCTCCGTTTGGGAGCTCTGGAAATACCTGACTGGTATTTTTCGGGCATGGAGTTCCTCCTGAATGTTTTTATATTTGAGAGCTAAGGGCGGTCCTGAATGAACCTAATTTTATAATGAACTTCTAGATCAATGATACCAGTGTACTAGTATGTTGCTTACAGAGTTATTTATCTCTTGTGGTTCCAGATGCTAATTAATGAACTTAGGATCACTGTAATATACATTTCAAAGGCAAGATTCTTTTTTTTGCCTAAAGGCACAGGTTGTCTTAACTATCCAGATTAAAATATATTGAAGTATAAAAACGTTTTTCATGATGAACTGTTTCAAAACACAAGGAGCTCTTTCAAGATGAGACTTAAACAAAAGGTTGTTCTGTACTTACTGCTTGCAAACGCCTATTGCAGAAAACTGAAGATCACAGTTTACTATCAGTTCGGATAGTAATGGTGTCTTATATTTTAGTTGTCTAAAATTTTTCTAATCATTAGGAAACCAACATCTCACCAATGTCAGCCAGGAGTAGCAGTGAATTATCATCAATAGCAGTGTTTCAAGAAAGAACGTAGATGCTTTCTCCATCTATTTTATCCTCCAGACACATAAAAACCTTGATTTGAGGGAATGATCTTAAAATCAATATTTCAATATATTTATAGTTTATCTAACCTCTAGTTATCTAGAGGTTTTGTTTGTTTGTTTGTTTTTATGTAAAGGTAAGAAGGCCAATTAGGGAAATATAATGTATATTTTTCTGAAGCTGTAAAATAGAAGTTCTCTTTAGCTTCTCAGTCAGTTGACAAAGCACCCAAACATCCATAATAGGAAATTATTATATGTCTGTTAAATTATTCCAACAAAATTAAGGGAAAATGCCATCTGAAATTGCTTAGTTAAATTAGGTTTATTAGTGTGACAAATACACTGCGTGCCAGTGTACGAGGGTCCATTTGTGTTCCTCAGGTAGAGCTCAGAATAGCTAGCAAGTGGCTAAGCTGGACGTTGATAGACCTGTGTGCTGAGCTTGCTAGCTGGCCTTATGTTTTGATGTTTGTTGTACACCTACTCATTTACATAAATAAAAATGTCAGTCTTTTTTCCAAGACACTACAAAATGAAGAATTCTGCTATCTTGCTCTTAGAATGAAACAAAATGGGGAGAATCCATGTTCCGTTACCAATGTTGCATACAGTGTGTAGGACAGATCTTGTTTATGTATTTTTTTTTCTTGCTGTCTTTGAGGGCCAGAGGGAAAAACAACTTTTTTTGCAATAAAATGACAGTAGGGTTGGAAGGAACTCCTAATCAGAATATTGTACTGGTTTGCAGTACCACTGACCAGCAAATGAACTCAGCACCTTCTCACTACCAAGTTTCTCCTCAACTACAGCTAAATTTCAAAAACATGGATAACAAAGCAGACTTTCATCTACTAAATGAAATAAGGTGGACATAGTCAGAGAACTTAGTAGGTGTTTGGAGGTGTGGCAGAAAGAATAGTTTAGAAAGGTGAAACAACCTGAGGAGGGAATGTGCAATAAAAACGGCAAGATTCAGACTAAGGTGTAATATCTAAACATAAGCAGGTATTTAAGCTCCCATTATAGCCAATAATAATGCAGTTAAGTGTACTGGTAAGCCGTGTGATGCTAAGGATAGGTAGGACATTTGGCTGTAAAGGTACAAATCAGGTGACAGTTCAGTAGGGTCTTCATTCATTAGCCTCGATATAGGTGGGTAGGGATGTTTGAGGTGACCTAACATAACCAAGGTGTCCACACAGGCTGATAGATATGGTATGGACATATATAATTATGATCCATGCTTTTCTGAAGCAGCAGCTAGAGGCCAGAAAAGGGTACTCCAGTGCATCTAGTGCTAGATAGATATGTGTGGACAAATGAATCAAGGCCTAGAACACCTCGAAATGATGCTCAAAATTTATGTCTTGTTCTTGAATTGAATCTTATCACAAAACTGTTAATCTTTAGTAGATGTAAACAGGTCTTATTTCAGTGTTCTCTGCTGGAGAATCCAGAGGTATATTTTAAAATAGGGTTAAACAGTTTAATGGCATATTAGTATCTTGCAGTGGAAGTTTAGAGATTACATCAATGGTAAAAATGTGGCATTTTGGATGCAAAAATATAAAACCATAATGGCATTATGCACTTGGTGGTGTGAAGAGGAAGATGAGCAAGTTCATATCTTCTTTGAAGACTATAATTAGTTTATACCTTTACTTTCTTTATTTTAAATGTTATAATGACTTTTGCCTTTTTATTACACAGGTTATCTGGATTTCAGCTTCCATCGTCTATTGTGAGCACAGGCTCTATCCTCACCCTCTGTTTCACCACAGACTTTGCTGTCAGTGCTCAAGGGTTCAAAGCTATCTATGAAGGTAAGACCTTTCCCCCTCAGTCCTCAACTCTATTTTATCTGACATAGCTTTCATGTTGAAACATCAATTTCCATTGTCTGGGATTTGAATCAGTGATGAATGTTATATACACTTTTGTTTTCTTGTGTACTTGACTTTGTCCATGAGTTTAATTAGACTTAATTTCAAAATTAAAAATATGACTAATACTTTAATTTTTGTGGGAATTTTTATTAGTTTTGTCAGTTTCCAAAATTGGATTCAGAAATGCTTTAATCTAAATGGGTTTCTAAGTATTTATCAAATTTATTTTGACAACTTCTTTAGGCAATGCTTGACTAAGGGGTGTAGTGGTATAGATAAGAGGAGATACTAACTGGTCTTGAAAATCACCCAGTAATGTTTTCCTTGTGGAAAATTAAAAATAATAAAAAAGTGGAAAAAAGCAAGACAGTTCACAACGTATTCTGTGAAAGCTGTTAGACTACAGTGGGTACTGAGAAGTTTTTTGGGGGGTATAGAAGGCCAAGCATTTCCTGTGTTTTAGCGTTTAACAAGAATTAGGCTCATAAAACTGGCCTGATATGGTCTGCATAATAATTTGGACAAAAGGCTTTGTGAGAACTTTCTCAAACAGAGGTTGCAGATATCGGTTAGGGTAGTATTAAGTCAGTTGCTTAGCATTTGTGAATGATGAGAGTGTTTTGAATGTAGCTTGAGAGTTGCATTCAAAGAGCATAAACGTTAGCTTGAATTTTTTTCTTTTTTAATGGAAAATGCAAGGCTTAGGCATATGAAGTTGCAGTAAGCTCAGTTTCAGATACTTCTCAAACATAAAGCATCTTTCTGTGGTTTCACAGTTTGACTCCTTTGGTGGAAGAGTATATTCTTGAAAAGCTGGGTACAATCATTTAAATGATAGAATGAAAAGCAAAATCTTTTTTAATGGAATAGGTTGATACAGAAAGTACTGTGATTCGATTGCAGTTATTCGCTCTGACTGGTGTTTGTAAGTTTGTAAATCCATTACCTTTGATCTCTAAGTTATTTTGGTATTTATTTTTAAAAGGTACCCAATGCATCCTCAAAAGCTTAATAAAACCTGGGTTGCTTTTCTACTGGAACTGTTTGTAGTCCTTTGAAACTTAGCCTCTCTTTCTTGACAATGCCTTTTTCTTATTGCAGATTATGTTAATGTTTTGAGATGAGGAGTGTTTTGAAGTGTCTTCTGAGGGGGGGAAAAGTACCCGCATTGACTGGGATACAAGTGACTTGTACAAGGATACAAGTGGCAGATACAAGGACTGAATCCTAGGTGCAAGGAGGGACAGAGGACTAGGAGGCGTCATCAGTAACTTTGACTTTTAAATTAGTGTTTCTAAGCTTTTTTTGACGGAGGTATCTCATCATGTCTTTCCCTGGGAGCCATCCTGCTTTTCCTCTGCCCCAAAATCTTATTGGTAGAGTAACAGGTTTGGGAATTTTGTTTTGTTTAACAGAAATGAGGGGTGAGCGGAAAGGCTAGAGAAGTCACGTTGTAATAGTCCTTATCAGTTTTATTAGCGAAGTCGCGTAAGAACATAGGACATCTCAAATGCAACAGGAAGTGTTACGATGACTTCAACAGGAAGCTGCTTTCTGCGTGCCTGTATCTTTCTCCCCTAGCAGTTGCATACTATAGTGTATTTCATCCTTTTTGTACAAGCTGAGCAGTCTTTTTCATATGGAAAAAGATAGCGAGCAAAGCTAAAGGATGTTTCTTGACTGTCAACTTAAGAACACATGCACAGAGCCACAGGCTGTAATATAATGACACTTCCTGCTGGCCTACTTTCATGTAAAACCCCAGCAGGAAGAGCTGTAATTAACACTGACAGATAGCACGACTCGCTGGTTAAACAACACTGCCCCCTTTCAGATTTAGTGCTCTCAACCTGTCTTTGAAGCTCATGTGTCTATGAGCTTTAAATTGACTTCAAAATATGTGACATCCAGCTCTGGAAGAAACCGTGGATGTCGTTGAAGCAACAGTGCCCGAGCGTCCAAAAAAAGCGGTGGGATACTGATGTTTCGGGATGTTTCCTTCGTAGCACTTAGTGATTCTGGGGTTTTCTAGAGATCTGGGGTGATTTCTGTGTCAAACTACTGATTGGTCTAAAGGCCAGCTGAGTTACTGCAAATCCATAGGATTTGTAGGAATTTCTTTACCTTTTTTATTTTAATAATGACCTACTTTGTCTCTTATGCTATGCAATTTCATGAGTAGGTAGGTGATAACTTCCTCTAGGACAGGAAATACAGACCAGCTGTTACTATTGATTGCAAGTCTTTATAATCACTATAATTATTTTATAATCATCAGATACCTATCCTTAAGCTAGTTTGCTTTTAATAAGATTAACTACTGGTCCCTGTTCCTAGCCAACGCTTCCATTCTCCTATGGCGTAGGTGAGTTACTGTTGTGTTAGAAGTGTGGGGAACAGCCTGCGGACTGCTGCCATCTAGGGATCTGGGACACTGAGGTCGTAACGCACAGTTTGAGAAATGCTGCTTTATGCATCTTGACTAGAAGGAGACTTCAACTGCATGTCAGCCAGCCAGAACTCCATGCAAAGAAATCTAAATGTTTTAAATGGTACCTGGGGGAATGGTTCTATAACAAATTCTTTACAGAGCATAGAAAAGTCCACAGCACTCAATGGTAAAAGTACTGGAACAGTCTTGGAACATTCCTATGCAAAGGAATTGTTCTGGATTACACCACTTGTCTCAAAGTAGCAGATGAAGCATGTCTGAAAAATTCAAATATTAGGAGTAAATAAGGAACAAATTTGCATAAATTTCCTATATTCTGGGAGGCTGAAAAACTCGTGTTTTTTCTTTTAATTCTTACAACAAGCTGGTCTTTCCTCAGAATAGGAAAAATTTCATCGAGTTAGTGTTACATTCATACAATTCAAAGAATATAATTGATAGAGTACAAAGTCTTTAAAGTTAGGTCTTCAATTTAAGTTCAGTATTTTGAATGTGAACGTATGGTGGGGGGGGAAATAGCATGTTGTCTCTCAAGACTTGCATTAAGCTAGATTCTCTGCTGCGCTGAGTTTCTGCTCCACACAGCAGAGCAGATGCTCTTGGGAGGCTCCCCCTCGTTCTCTGCCCGGGTGCCGTTTTTAATTTATGCCCTGGTGAGCAGGGGTAGGGTGCTGCAGCCTGTTCTCTGAACCAGGAAGGGAGGCAAACAGCACATCTTAACACCTACTTGAAAGCCTCTGAGGATGTACCTGCGCCCGTGTCCCTGGCAAGGCAGGGGCACTAGATCCTGTTGCCTGGCCTGAGACTCCGACGTGTGCATCTTAGCAAGTTTAGTCCTGATTTATGACCTCACTTCTGATTTATGACCTCACTTCTGTGCAGCAATGAAATAATCTGACCTTTTTTGCCCTTGCAATTTGTAAATGACTTAACAATGAGGTTGGTGAAACCAAATACCGGTGTTCTTAGCACCTGAAGATTATTCACATCTGTGTGGTTTTGCCTGCTGTTACTCGTACACCACATGAATATTTATACGTAATTAAATCTGACTTTGCTGCAGTAGACTAGCAAGAGGCATCTACCAATGTTAACAAGATATTGATGCGGCTGCTCCATTGCTTAGTTTTTAGCTGATACATGTATTTTTTTTACTGTATCATTACTTTGCCAAGCTTATATATCCATTTGAAAACCTCTAATATTTTTAACTGCAACTCTGGTAGTACTTCATTCTTTCTCAGTGATCACATCCGCACTCTAAACTTCTGCTACAGGTGGAAGCTTGGATTATTCTTATTTTCTGGCAATAATGTTTATCTAGCGGAATTTCAAACATTAATTATATCTGTAAAAAGAGCTATAAATTTTAAATGTAGTAAATTCAGTTTATAGGACTGATCTTATTTAATCTGCTAAATGATTTATTGACCTTTATTATCGCTGTTGGGTGGCAATTGAATTTAAGTCTGAGGAATGGGATTTGGGGATTGAAGGATGATTTCTATTTCTATAATATGGTTTCTATTGACAATACTTTACATTACAGAAAAGTACCACCTTTAAACTACATCTAGGCCTTGCAGAGAGAGGAGGGATGAAATGATCAGAATTCTCAGAATACTTATGACTTATACGATTTCATTTGTTTAACCCCCTATTAAAGTCTGTTTAATTCCCATTTTTTACAATGGGATTAACAAACTACTTGTTAAAAGGGACTCTGAGGACTACAAACAGAAATTTTAAAAAAATCAGCATTGTTACATCATTATGATATTTTTCCTATAACAGTTAGGCATGTTCCTCCCAAACACTTGCATACAGTTGGCAATACTAAAAAAAAAAAAATCACCTTTAGATGATAGCAATAGCTGAAGCATTGTGTACATGGACACTTGCTTTCAGTGATGCATGGTAAAATTGTTATGACCTTTGTTCTACTAAACTAGTGTTTTCTGCCATACATTTGTTCAGGGAATCCAATTCTGTCAAGAGCACAAAATTCAGTAAAAATAGGAGAACTACACTGCCTTCTGCCAGTAAATGATAAACCCTAGAAGCTTAAAATGAACCAGGGATTGTTAACCTATCTCTCTTTTTTTAATTCTTATTTTATTCAAAAGGCTTTTTATTATATAGTATTGATAGAGAATCTTTAAACACCAAGACAGAAGTACTGAACTTCATATGTGCTAGCACTCCTTCTGCACCTGCATCATACACCAGCAGGTTTTCTTTGCCAAAGGAAGGGCTTTTGCACATCCCTACATTGCCAACCCACCCTCAGGGCGTACCTTTTTCTTTTTGTCTTATAATTCTCAAAGGTTTCTGCTCACGCCCAGCATTAACATTTACACAGGCAGTCACCTCATTATGCCTTACGCATTTTCCTTGAAGCTTCTTTTTAAATCCCTTTCAGCATTAACAGCAGAAGATGGTGGTACACTTCCACAGTGTGAAGTCTTTGAAGATTTTATTTTCT